GCTCCCTAGGCCGTCGTAACAGTTGCAAGATGCAGTACAGCAGTGTGTCTTCATCCAAGCATAGTGTCTTCATACGTAGAGTGTTAAAGTCCCAGGTCACATTTTGAGAAATTATTATGAAAAAATCTCCAGCAGGATTTCTGCCGCAGGCCGGCTGCAGCAAAATAACCGGGGGGTGACGAATAACTTGTGTACGTTGATACAGCAGGAATGGGAGCCATTTATTGTAGGGCAACAGAGCTATTTATACATTTTGCACAGCTTRTCYTAATTAGCATAAACTAGATACATCAGTCAACCAATAAGGAATCTCCACACTTAATGGCTCGCTTTTGTTACTTCTCAAACCACTCCCTCTGGCATTTTGCCAGGCACCATCCAGACTTGTTTACGAACTCTAATATTTCTCTGGCAAAATACCAGGTGTTATTTTTGACTTATTTACAGACCTTAACAGATTTCTTTTTCCTTTATCATTATTATTTGCCAGAACTGGATAGGGGTCTACCCCTATATGCAAAGAAGGTTGGAGAGTGAGCACTGGCAAAAGAGAATGGGATTACATGAGATGCTTAGATGTGAAGAGATACAGTCTACCACAAGAGGCTTTAGTTTGGTGGTTTCATGGAGGATGGTGCATCTGAGCACAGTGAGATAGGAGAGCATTTGACTCTGATGYCCCMCTGACTGAACAAAATCCAAATCTACCACCTAACATTGTGAAACCTCACAAACAATCGAAATTCTGTGATTCCATGAAATGTCAAGACCTTGAGTCCAATAAATTTTTACATTCCAATAAATTCAATAATTTTTGACAAATTTATAAACTGTGGAGCCAACATCCTAAACTAAAAGGAAATATTTCTATCATCCCAGAACTACTCATGACTCCTCCCAGGTAATCCTAACCCTGTCTGGCCAACTGGCACCTGCTCATTTAATTTCTATTATCATGGAATTCTTTAGCTTCTTCCTAGYCTCCTATGAATGCAAGCATGAAGCATGAACACTCTTCTATGTGACTCCATTCTCTTGATCTAACATTTTTGAGAGTCATCTGTTTTGTGGCTTCCAAGAGATTGTTCTTTGCATTTAGTAAGTAATATTCCATTTCATGAAAACGCAACAGTAAAAAAATTCTCTGGTTGGAAGACATGGCATTGATTTCAGTAACCAATGTGGTCAATAAGCTCTGCTACAATGGGTTTTTAACATTCCCACTTGTTAAAGAAAGGATGAACTGATAGCCATCCACTTATTATATGCCCAATAACATTTCACAAAGAAGGGTGTGAATAAATATATTCCTATTTCTGGAAGGAGAAAAGACTGGGATCTATTGGAAATAAAAAATCTAAGGTCACAAATCAATGGGTTAATAATCTTTATCAGAATAGAATATAAATTCCACCTCTGAAGCTAAAAACTATTTATAATTTTAAGTAAGCAGGCACAGTCTAACAGCAAAAATAAGTTTTAAAATGTAGTTTTTCTCTAACAAACATTCAAAGATTCATATTAAAACTGATCTAGTTTTATGAGACAATACTTCTTTCAATGAGACAATACTCTGGCTCACAGATTTTGACAGAAACTCAATCTCATGAGGACATATTGTGGAATACATAGAGGTTTCGCATGAATACTTCTAGCTTTGATGTAATTACCTGATAATTTTCTTCCCTAGGTTTCTTCCTCTGTTAAGGACAATGGTTAACTCAGTTATTACAGGTAGAAAAATGATTCTGTCAAACATTGTCCTAATCATAAATGTCACTTCATAGTTTTCTCCTTAGTCACTAGTTTACACTTGAGACACTTTGATTTAAGGCGGAGTTGACATTAGTGAATGAGGCTTGAAGAAATCCTGTTCATATTACAAAGTTCTCTTATGGCATCTCTGAGACATCCCACCACACTAAATTTACAACACACACACAGGTGTGGTCAAAGCACTGTAAGGAATCCCCATGTTCTCCACACCTCATTTCAATGCTTATGAATTCGGAGCAAATCTGCTTCAGCTAAAGCAGGGCATCTCCAGGGCAGTCCTATGGACACTGGGCTGGTAATTCTCTGCAGTCCTGCAGACAGTCCTGGGCCTTGTAGGATGTGTCACAGCCTCCCTGGGCTCTCCCTGCTTCCTGTCAGCAGCCCCTCCCTCACCAGCCAGCTTGGACAAGAGCCAATGGCTCCACACATTACCCAGTGTCCTCTGGGGTAAATCACCCCTGGCTGGGAACCACCCATCTATTCCTCTTCCACACCACAGGCTTTGAGATGTGCTATGTCAGTTTCCCYAAGTCTCAGTACTGTCATTTTATGTGAAGCCCTGAGGAGCAGGAGAGGGATCATTGCCTGTGAACAGCACCATGCAAGTGAGTGTCTGTGAATTCTGGGTGAATTTAATTTGTTCACATTTCACAATTTTTTTCCTACTAGGCTTGTGCAGGTCCTGCTTCCCCTGAGATATTCTGCCTGATTAGGAAGGGGAAAGGGTACTGATCCCTGCAGACCTCCTCTCACCTGATCATGCCATCCCCTATGTGTCCCTTTTAAACAGCTTGATTTAAGGCTAATTCGCTAGGGTTTTAGTTCTCTGTGGAACACCTGGGAGGCAAGTCTACATGGCTCTTGTCTTTAAGTTCAGATGGATCTGAGAAACTGGTACCTCAGTCTCCCACGTTCTCAAGTCTAAAGCTGTAAGTAGAACAGATCCCTCATCTTGAGACACCAGGCAAACAAAAATTCTGGTCCTAGATTGGCCTGATGCATCTCCGCTGGCTAACTGGCAGCATGCCTGCGTCCAGGGCTGTTCTCAGGGAGGAATTTACATCTCTTATCTTCAGAACAGAAAGGTCACTGTGGTGAGTTCAGCAAAGGCACAGAAACACTGTTGTCAGTTTTTTTTATGAACATGGGCTTCTTTGTTATGTGATGATTGATTCACTCTTAAAGCACAGGGAATGGGTCCCTAAGGCGTATGGTGTTTTACAAAGTTTTCTTATGTGAGTGTGGAGGGCAGCAATGTGCCAGCATCTGGGATGCAGGAATGGAGAAGATATGGTCTTGGTCCTTGGGGACCTTTGTTCTTTCAAGATTTACTGAACACCTATAGTATAGCAAATACTGTGCTTAGAAGGCCAGGGAAGACACACATACCCAGGGTCATTAAAACCCTGACACTCACTGAGTGCAATCAGGTGGTGGTCACAGGAGTAAGCAGTGGAGATGGCATGGTGAGAAGATGCAGTCTCTCCCTTCAGAGGCCCATGCTGCAGGAGGCAGGTGGCCACATAAAACAATATAATCCAGTGTGAAGCCCTGTGATTCCAAAATATCCAAGGGAAAGGGGGCCACTGGCTGTGAGAGACTCTGGCCTGACAATATGGATTTCCTAACTGAGAAATATCCAAGGCAGCACAGAGGACAGGAACAGAACTTAGCCTGGGATGGACCTGGGAGTGGAAGTCATGCATCTCTGAGGTAGGTAAGACCTGCATGTTACTTGAGCTGTGAGTGGGGAAGAGGTTAAATAACTCTCTAGGTGGATGCAATGGTGCTAGCCTGAATCTCAATCAGAAGATGCAGGTCTCCCTCAAGAATGTAGGGAGATCCTGTCTCAAAATAAAAAATAAATGATTCAGGGTGCAGGTCAGTGTTAGAATGCTTAACTAGTGGGGTTGGGGGAGAAATAGCTTTCAATATTACATAGATACAATCTGAAAACATGCATTTTAATCCAGGAAACCAGACTATTACCACACTTAAGCCTTCTTCCATGAATGGCTTGGTAGATTTGCCCAGGGACCTAAGAACTTACTATGAACCTTGCCTTCTCTTTGTTTCTGTAAAAATAAATTCTCTCCTTGAGTTACCTCTGGGTCCTGATGGTGCTCAACCACCTCAGCCTGTCTCCATCACTGGAGAAAGGAAGCTTTGTGGTATGAGGGTTGGTCGTCTGGCTCCAGTATCAGGTGCTCTAGAGTCTCAGGATGTGAGACCACAGCTCATGTACATTGACCTCAGCCAGCTCAGACACAGACTAGAATGGAGCAGGACTACCTGCATATCAGGCAGTGGGGAATCTTGGTGATGACAAGGCGTTGAGAGACTAGGAGTAGATAGGGATGGGTCAGAGATTGAGTGGGCCCTGGGGAGGGATGTGGGAACTTTGTTGGCCCTGGATGCATAATGCTTGGAGGAAATGAAAAGTGCCTGTGATGAGAATTGTGCATGGATTGAAGGGATCCTTAGAAAGCAATGAGGCCACAAGAAGACCAAGTTCAGAGGACAAGAAATAAGAGGGGAAGTAGAAATAAGGACTCAGACAAAGCCTTGTGGCCCCTTGGGGGTTCCAAGTCCAGGGAGGTGCACCACAGGACATCTCTTCTAAGACTCTGAAGTGTTGTGGACAGGATGAGGACACTGTTTTGGAAACCATTTTTAGGAAACAAGCAAATATAAGTGTAATGCAAGAAARCTGCAGTGACAGGTAATACAATTAGCCAAGGCAATAGAAAGATGTACTACGGAGACCCAGCCACACTGTCCTGTGTGCCCACGTTGTCCAATGAGAGGACGTGCTGTCATTTATCTGGTTGCCCCTCTGCTCTGCTTCCACTACTCTAACCTCTCCATACAATATCATTTCACTTTCCAAATGACAAACATCTTTGGTGACTTTGATTTTCTACAGAATAAACCCCAAAATMTGTAAGAGTACTTCCATACACAGGTACCAAACTCTCTGGACAGCCTTACTTGTTATTATTGTCACCTTACTCCAGCCACACGCAGTGTGTCCCTAGTTGCTGTCTCCATTCTTGCAATGCTCTTCCCTTCTTCTATAAAGAAGACTTATCTTTCAATATCTAGCTCACAAGCACCTCAGAGAGGCACGTTTGTATGTATCTCATCCCAGTTCATGAAGAAGTCGTTATKTTCTATCATTTCAGATCACACCATTCAAATAGCTGCCTGTTAGTGGTGACCTCATGGCCAATACATACAACGTGACTGAATTCATTTTCCTGGGACTGTCTCCCAATCAGGAGGTGCAGAAAGTTTGCTTTGTGATTTTTCTGCTCTTGTACGTGGCAATTGTCCTGGGGAATTCCCTCATTGTGCTCACTRTCCTGACCAGCAGAAGTCTGGGGTCCCCCATGTACTTCTTCCTCAGCTACCTGTCCTTCGTGGAGATCTGCTACTCCTCTTCTACAGCCCCCAAACTCATCTCAGATCTGCTGGC